AACCCGCTGCGCCACCAGGGAGGGCCCTATTTTTTTTCTTTTTTTAAAATATATATATAATAATTTATTTTTACATATTTTTGTGCATTTTCCCATCCTCCTGAAGATATTTTATAACTGACCTGTAATAAAACTTCTTTAAAATATGTAGGGTCTTCATCACTGCAGAGGTGATCCCAGCACTTTGAGTCATCAAGTCAGCTACCTCTGTCCTGTTCACATTTGCTAGTTTGCTTTTGGAGACCTTAAACTCATCTGGAAGGATAAACTTCAGTGTCTTCAGTTCCTTATTGGTCAAGTTTTCCAGGCAGACAAGTAACAGTATTCTCTTATATTTACTCTCCATCTTGCAATACTGGGATCAGTCTATAAGAAATCCCCAGCACTTAACATCACATGACTAAAAGTGAGTTCAAGGGCCTCCCTGGTGGCCCCAGAGTTAAGTCTCAGCACTATCACCTCTAAGGCCTGAGTTTGATCCCCCACTAGATGACGCAGCAGATCTCTCCTATGTCACCTGCTACTCCCCTCAGAGGTGTATTTCAGTAGATCTGCCTGTTCTGTTCCCCAAGCTGTTGTCTCTGGTGGATCCTCTCACCCCTCCCCCATACCTCTGGCCTACACCCCAATTCTTCTATACCGAAAAAAATATGGTCATTTATTTATTCATTCATTCGTTCACTCATTCATTCATTCATTCATTTAAAGTGAATTATGCATTCAATAAACAGCCGTACAGTGCATGGTTAGTATCTGTTCAAAGGGAAAACAAACATGCTTATAACAGAACAAGGGAAATTTAGTTGAAAAGGATTTAAGAATATCTTCATTGAGCAAGAGTGCTCCTCCACCATGAAAGGATACCTCTCAGGCTGTAGTTGGCCCTGGAGTTCTTAGAGAACAGCATGCAATTGACTTTGATTTTGTTAACTGATTCTCAGGAGCAGAAGACTGCAAAGTGCAGTGGCTTGGTGCATATGATTTGATGAAGCTGGCACAACTCTGCAGCCCAGCTAATCAGTTTGCTCTTTCCTGGTTTGTGATTTGGTATCATCACTAAGAAATCGTCACCTAGCTCACTATCAGATTTTCTCCTGTTTTCCTCCAGAAATAGTATAGCTCAGGGATTTTATCCTTAGGTCTATTTTGAATTACTTAGTATGTGCTGTGAGGTACAATGCAAGATGGGTTGGGTGTTTTTGCACATAGGTATGAATTTTCTCAGAATCAAATATGAAAAGATGATTCTTCCTTCATTGACTTGCTTTTGCATCTTTGTTGAAAAGCTGTTGTCCTTGTCAAACTGGTCAATTTCTGCCTTGTTTTTCCACTTCCATAGATTTCGCTATCTTGTTTCTAAGATCACATTACAAAAAAATAATTCAGCAATGATTCCAGATAATTCCTTATGGTACTCAATAGGTGATATATTATTTAAGAACACAGGGATATTATTTGGGTACATAGGAGTTTCTTCCCTTGGGCCAAAAATTCCTAAACCAAAACCCAAAACTAAACAGAAAGGAATGTCTGAATACAAACCCTACCTCTCCAATACTTTTATTTTTCCCTTGCTAAAGATATGACTGTATCAAACAAAAATATACTAAGTAATTTAAGTTTCGATTCATTTTGCTTATTGCTTATCCAATTCTTACTGCTGAGTAAATCTTAATAGATTATAGATATTTAGTAATTTAATGTAAGGAATCACCGAAATTAGATACTAAGCGTGATACTAAGTGTGAAGAATTTTGGCATTCTCGAATCTCATCTCCAATTTCAAAGGAAGATAGTATCAGAAAGAATCTTGAGCAAAAAGAGGAATTCCTGAAGTGGAACAAAGTAAAGGAATTCTCAATCCAGAGGAAAGGGTCAGATGGGTGAGGGCAGAAATAATGCAGAGAGGCAGGAAAGCATCCATCACAGTGGGGTCTGAGAACAGGAGCTTAGGTGAACCACAAACCTCCTTCATTCATGCACTTCCTCTATGCCATGCTGTGAAGATGAGACCCAGTAAGATAGAACTGACCTCCCTCAAAAACAAAAACAAAAACAAAAAACCCCTACAGAATGGGAGAAAATATTTGCAAGTAATATATCCATTGAAGAGTTAATATCCAAAACTACAGCCCATTGAATTGTTCAATTGTATAATTCACAGTAGGTAAATTGTACGATAGGTAAATTAAACTTTAATAAAACTTACTAGAGAAATTTTTTAAAAAGAGTTAATATCCAAAATATATAAGGAACTCTAACAACCCAGTAGCAAAGAGAAAAAAAAATTCAAAAAATTGAGTTAAGGAACTGAATAGACAATAGACATTTTCCCAAGGAGGACATATAAATGGCCAATAGGTATATAAAAATATGCTAAACATAGCTAACTTCAATGAAATGCAAATGAAATCCACAATGAGACATCAGCTCACACTTATTAGGATGGCCAGCACCAAAAAGACAATCAATCATAAAGGTAATAAGGACTTAGAGAAAATTGAATCCTTGTATGCTGTTAGTGGGAATGCAAACTGATACAACCATTAAGGAGAGTAGGAAGATTGATCAAAAAATTGAAAACAGAATTACTTTGTGATCGAGCAATCCCACTTCTGGGTTATATCCGAAAGAAATGAAATCACTATCTCAAAAAAGATATCTGCTCTCTAGTATTTTATGGAACATTATTCATAATAATAATAAAAATTCATAGCCCGGACAGGAAAACATCCTGTGTGTTTGTCAATAAATGGATAAAGGAAATCACACACACACAGGGATATTCAGTCACAGTAAAGAAGGAAACTCTGACATTTAGAATAACATGGGGGAGCCAAGAGGTTCCAAGAAATGAGCTCTCAGAAATGAGCAGACAGAGAGAGAGCAGTATTGTATATAGAGCCTAAAGTAAGCTTCAGAAGTCAAGCTCCTGGCCCTCCCTGGTGGTAGGCACAGCACTATGAAGCTATCTACAGTACAAGTTCAATCCCCGACCAGGAGGTGGCCGGTATGGTACAACAGACCTCTGCTGTCTTGCCTGCTGCCCCCCTCAGCAGTGCATTTTCAGTTAATACATCTGCTTTGCTCCCCACTCTGCCTCTGGTAAATCAAGCTCCTATAAGGAGAGAATAGAAGGATGGTGGCCAGGGCCTTGGGGACCTAGAAATGGGGAACTGGTGAGTAGTTAAAAATGACTACATACTGAGGATGTACCGCATCTTCACCACAGTTGATAATTCCATGTTTCATATTTGAATTTTTCTAAGTGTTTATTTTTTTAAAGATTTATTTATTTATGCATACAGAACTGGGGTACAGGCCAGAGGTGCAGTGGCGGTGAGAGGATTCACCAGAGACAGAGTGGGGAATAGAACAGGCCAACTGATAAAGTACATTGCTGAGGGGAGCAGCGGGCGGGTCAGGAGAGGTCTGCCGCGCCATGTGGGTCACCTCCCGGGCAGGGATCGAACTCATGCAGAAGTGGCTTTAGCTTCTTAGTGCTGTGTTTTAACCCACTATGCCACCAGGGAGGGCCCTATGTGTTCATTTTAAGGAATCTCTTGCACAGAAAAGGTAACTTTGTAAGGTGATAGATGTGTTAATTGACTTAATGGTGTTAATCACAATTTGATGCACAGCATCAAATCATGTTGTACACTTTAAATTGTAATATATGACACTTTTATCTGTCATTTATATCTCAATATAGCTGTGGGGAAAAGCATTAAATGAATACCTAACATGATATATTAGACGCTAGGAAAACAAAAATTAATAAGACAAGGTCCCAGATGCTGGTGGTCTTGCCAAGTCCTGGAAATAGACTTGTAATTTAATAACCACCACATCGCATGGTGGTAAGTGTTGTAATTGAAGCACCTCCAGATGCTATGGAAGCATCTGTGGGAGAAAGGGCACTAACCAATCTTGGGAATTAGTGGGAAGTGGCAGTACCTCGTTTATCTTCTGCTGCTGGTCTCTTTTTCACCTTCCTCCAGATGTCGAAATAGCGCCTTCTCTGGCCAGCTTGCTCCCAACACTTGCTTATATTACACAGTTATAATATACTTGTTATAATAGCAGAATATTGTAGAATAATATACTATATCTTATAATAAGGTATAATACACTATAATAACATAAGGATCCTAAAAATAATAATAGTTCATAGTAATACAGCCTGATACGCTATAGACTTCACATGTTTGTCATTCTCAGACCCTGTCCTAGAGGGTGGGCCCTGTCAACAGGGGTTTCTGTCTGCCCCAGGGGTGATGTCAGGCATACTCAAGTACTCAGAAAATTCTCAGCCGATGGACAGATGAGTGAAATACACAGGAGCTAATGTGCCCCGAAAAGAAGACTCAAGAATCAGCACATTTTTTGTTGATGCGAAGCAGCTAGTGGAGTACCTTATCCTAGTAAGTGAAAGCTCTCTGCTGAGCAAGTTCCCAGAAGACTGGTTCTATCCATAAATCCAAGAGAGACTCGCGACTTGAAGTTTTGGGTTCCATGGAAGGTGGGTTAAAATGAGGATGGAAGTAAGCATGTTTCACGAAAGTCCCTGAAGCACAGTCACCCTCTGCCCACGGGCACCAGGAACTTTCACCCCTGAGTCTTATTTTCCCAAGAAATGTAATCTGAGCCAGTATCAACTACAGCACACCAGGCGCCGAGGGTGAAACAGGGCCATCGGCTGGAGAAGGCCGCTTGCGTGAGCGTCCACAAGGGATGAGACGACCAAGTCCTTCCTGCCTGGGCAAGTAACTACTCCAGGTCACGCAACAAGCAGGGTCTCCTTGAGGATGGATGACAGCCAGCTAAGAGGCACTCAGACCCGAGGGAACAGCCAGTGGGGAAAGGAAGTTATCAGCAATAAAATCCAGTTGGCTGGAAGGGCCAGAGGAGGTCACACATCATTTTTTTTTTTTAGATTTATTTATTTGTACAGAACTGGGGCACAGGCCAGAGATGCGGAGGGTGAGAGGCTTCACCAGAGACAGAGTAGGGAGCAGAACAGGCAGATCTACGAAGTACACTGCTGAGGGGAGCAGCGGGCGGGTCAGGAGAGGTCTGCCACACCATGTGGTCACCTCCTCCAGGGCAGGGGATCGAACTCATGCGGAAGTGGCTTAAGCTTCTTTGTGCTGCGCTTTAACCCGCTGCACCACCAGGCAGGGCCCACACATCATTTTTAAACAGAGAAACACACCTCATTTTTAAACTGCAAAGGAGAGATGCTTTAAACCCTCAACCACAGATGACATCCAGGGATGACGGTATTGGCTGCTGGGAACGGCACCAGAGCAAGAAAACCCAGTCATCTTGTTAGCACTGGAAGGA